TTGCCCAGGTTAAGCACAAAAGTGTCCTTTCCAAGAAGAGTCATCACTAGCAATCCCTGGACACCAAAGCCAGGGCTGGGAATGCAAGCTTGCTTACTCAGAGGAGGTAGGAAGCCTGTCTTATCTTTTTCTCTAACACACATTCTGAAGTCCTGAGTCTGTGCTGCAGGGATGTTCTGGGGTTTACCAGGTCTCCTCAGAAGAGCCTGGCTGGTGGGTCCTGGGAAACATTCACCCTCACAAGACCATCAAGCTGTTCAGGGCTGGAAGTCAGGGCTTTGCAGTCAGCAGACCACGGGAGAAACTAGAGACCCACTGGCTGAGCACTTACTAGGTGCTGGGCTCAATACTAAGTTCCTCTTTAACCTTCAACTACTCTGAAGGCAGCTGTCATCACCTCCATTTTACATAAGGGAGGTGCAGTGAGACTCAACTGCCTTCCCCAGCTGGCAGGGGGCAAAGTTCCCGTCCCTCCCTGGTGCACGAAGTGTTTGCTCGGCAGCCTGACTTTCTTGGTGTTTGGTTTCTCATCAGCAGAGGCACACACACCTACCACACAGGCCGGTGGTGACAGAAGCTCCTGGCTTTGGCTAGTGACGTCCTCATCCCTCAGGAATAACTTTTGTTGGCCAGGCAGAGGGAGGTGGGTTATATGCTCTTCCTGCCACCCTCTGGTCTAACCCGCTGGGAGCCCTCAGCTGTCCAGATGTGGTGACTACCGCCCAGCCCACAGAGTTGTTCTGCCTGCTCCCCTGAGAACCCACTGAGCTTTTCAAGACTGTCTCCTTCCCTCTGCTGCTGTGGTTTGGAGATCCCTCTTATCTCCACGGCAACAATCCCTGAAGGCAGAACTAGCAGACACGCAGTGCTGGGCTGGCAACGGTGGCTGAGGCCCGGGGCCTGTGAAGGGCAGCCCAGGCATGGTGTGGATTCCTGTTTCCACAAGTGCAGGCTCCATGCTTCTTCTGGGCGAGTGCCCGCCCCTAGGTGTGCAGTGGGAACACTGGTGAGGGCCGCCAAGCACTCCTTCACCCAGTGGCCGAGCACCCCTCTCCCACACAGCTCCCCCGCAGGGAGCGGAGGCTGCGGCACGGACTGGCGTCTCTCTCTCCCGAACAGTGGTGACAAAGCCACATAGCACTCCTTCTCAAGTCACATATGGCTTGTTTGACCCCATCAAATAACTTTATTCACACAAACGTCCCTTAATTTACAAAGCCTCAGTCATTCATTCATACACATTAGGGTATCCACAGTGTTCAAGGAACTTAAATATAATGTATCATACCAACCCAAGTAAAACAAGTACAAAAAATATTCATATAAAGTTGTTCACACGTAGGTCCTAGATTACCAGCTTCTGTGCAAAAAAAGAAAATAAAGAAAAATAGATTTATTATCTAGTATTTGAAACTAACTTTGTGCCTGGGTTAAAACCTCCCTCACACCCAGTCAGCCCAGCGTGCGTGTTAAACCACGGCCACATTCTCCTCTGCTCTGGTGGGAAGAGGCCCCTGCGGCACAACAGGTTTATAATGTTCCTAAATAAGCTCCCTTCTCCTGTAGCCTCTTGTGGAAGATGCGGCCCCCTTCCGTTACTCCTGCAATTTCAACAGAGCTCCAGGCGACTAATGGCAGTGGATGCTTACATCAGCCAACCTTCACTACACCTCCCGGCTCCCCACTCTGAGGGCCTCTCCAGACAGGAGCCCCTGCCTCTGCCCAGGCAGGATCGTAGACGTGCCTGTGTTGTCCTGAAGGCTGTGCCTCAGTGCCCGGCCTGGTGGCCTCAGGAGCTGGGCAGCACAAGCTTGGCTGGCGTCAGGTTACCAGCTCCTAGGAGATGCCAGTCGTCGTGCCTGAGGGCCACCATACAGGCCCAGTAAGGGGTAAGGAGCCAAGGAGGAGCAATTACCCAGTGCCCCCAGATGTTGACGGCAGGGGACACACATGCAGGACCAAAGGCAGAGGCATGGCTGGAAGTTCAGGCGGCATGGAGCAGGGCGAGGGCAGAGCGTTAGGGTCCCTTCCTTTGCGGGGGAAGCCCGATCTTATTTTCCAAGCGATACCCCAAGGCTGAAACCCAGACATCCATTCTATTAAGATCTTTTAAAAAGGCCAACTGCCAACAGCAAAAAAGATTCCACAATGCTGGTTCTCTTCCTTTTCTTAGAAAAAGACTCAGGCAGAAATAATCTTATTGCTCCCAACACTGATTTTCTAGAAGACAACTGGTATGTTAAGGAGCTGAGAACCATGGAGGAAGGGGATGGCAGAGGTGGGGAATGTCCAAGGGCAAGAAGGCTGTGAGGAAGGTGGTGAGTGGTCTGAGCACCGCAGGGTTAGGGAGCAGAGGGGGTGCAGGAGGCCCCCCTGCCGTCTCTGCCTTCATTCACTCTGGGGCCACCACCAGCAGTGCCACTAAGGCCAGGCCCTGTCCAGAATCAAGTCTCCACCCAGTGGCTGATGTTTGTCCTCCAGCTGTAAACAGGGTATTTCTTAAGTAAACATTTTAATACACTCCCTCAGAAAGGCAACCCTGGGGGCAAAACCATGTCCATGGGAGGGAGAGTTCCCCTTCTCCAGTCCCCACACCTTTGGGGTAAAATGAGGCAAAGGCCTGCAATCTTAGTCCCCAGTATCCAGAAGGGGGTCAGATGGAGGCCGCACCGTAGCCTGTCCAGACTGAACAGACTGTGGTCTCCTCCTGGCTAGAGTTAAGAGGCAGGGGACTCACTGGGCAGTAAGCAGCAGAGCACAGCTGTGTGCAGTGTAGTTTTCCTGTCCTCGGCTAACGCGGCTGTGAGTGCCCTGGTGGTGGGTGGGGAAATGTGCCCGGCTGCAGCCCTCAGGAAGGGATTGGGGTAGGTGGGTATTCCTTCCCATGTGAGTGGGAGTCAGAGTTTAAGAGACAGATGGACACAGGGAGAAAGAAGCCACACACTTCCAGCTGCGCCAGGTCTGGTCAGTGGAGGCAATGGAATAAGGCACTATGATCTGTCCTGCTAATTCCTCTCGCTGAGGGGAAACCGAGCCAGACCCAAGAGCTGGGGCCCAGAACCTCCTTCAACAGGCTATCCTTCCTACACATCCAAGGAGTCCAAGGAGAAGACAATGACTGATGGCTATTTCAAGGTTTGGAAACTCCCAGAACTTGGACAAGCCTAACAGACTCGGTGGTGCTGAGACGATGCGCCACACAACTACTGCAAGGCCGAGAGCCAGGAGAGGCGAGAAGGAGGAGAGGCGAAGCAGCTGATCCATGGCATGAAGAGGGGGAAAGTGGCAGAGAAAGAGGACAGGAGCTCCTGGGGTCCGGCCAAGGCTTGTCCACTGACTGGATGGAGCCAGCGTTCTCTAGGGCTGACGTCCACCTGGCTGGCTGGCTGGGTGCCTGAGGTGGACAAGGTGGGGGGTGGCGGAGAGAAGAGGGGAGACAGGCACTTGGGGCCAACAGGCTGGTCAAGAGCTCAGGAGAGTCCCGCCCCCGAGCACAGAGGCTGACTATCCCGCCCAGGCTGCCCACCTCAGCCAACAGCATGGGCACCTGTGACCACGGGGGAGCTCTGATGCCAAGAGAAGTAACGAAGCAGGGGCACTGCAGAGACCCGTGTTCACGGAGTTCAGGGGCCTGGGGGAGGCAGGGGGAAAAGATGAGCATGAGGCAAGTAACTCGTTAGGCGTTGAGTCCTCACTAGGGATTGGGAGCATGGGCTGCAGCCACAGAGTTGGGGGTGACAAGTTTGGGGACTGTTTTTCCCATTTGTTCATGAATGGAGAGGCAGCTGCCCCCAAGGGAAGGCTGGGTAGGGGGCAGAGCAGACTATGCACTGCAGTTTGGAGATGCTGTTCCCCCCCACCCTCCTGGCTGCAGGTCGCCTGAGAAGTTGGAGAGGACAGACAAGAGACAGGCAATCACAAACGACTGCAGCCAAGGGAAGGGCCTCGTCACCACCTGCAGCCCTGCCAGATCCTGCTAGCCACAGCTACTGTCTGCCCAGGAGGAAGCAGCAGCCCTGGTATGTGAGGGGCTTGAGGAAAGGCTGGAGGAACGTCAGCAAACATACCACTGAGTCTGGAAGTTTGGGCTGATGCTCTCTGTTGGCCTCACTGGCCTCTTCCAAATTCCCGGGGCTGGAGGATGGCTACTTTTGGGGGGGAAAGCCCCCGCTTGGTCACACACCCACCCAAATGCCCTCTGAATCTCCCCTACAAATCCTATGCTGGTTTACAGAAAACCAAAACAAAAACTAAACAAAGAGTAATTCCTTTCCCCTTCCCCAAAGACCCTCTCCTGTGTGGCTACAACAGGGTACAAAGCCTCTGGAGCAGCCAGAGTAGCTTCTGGGTGAGGGCACAGGACAGGGCCAGCCTCCCTCTCCTTGTAAGAAGACACCTAGGTCAGAAACTGTGAGTAGGGAGGCCGCCAGGGTGCCAGGAGAGTGTCCCAACACCCACACAGATGGACACTGGGGTGCGGCTGAAGGGTCACGGCTCGGGCACACACACAAACAAGCCTCTACTGGCTGTGGGGCCTACCCAGTCCCTTCCCTGCTGCCGGCAGGTCCGTTCTTCTCCCATTAGACACATTTACACTGAGGCAGGCACCTAACAGGAAGTCCCTGGAGGTGAGGGAGATGGTGCTTAACATTGTCACCATATGTGACATACGGGGCCCAGCACTTGGGGCACACCCTTTACTGTGAGGAGACGACAGTGGCAACCAGTTCAGGAGGACCTGTTGTTATGGCAATGGTCACAGCTGGATCTCAGGGACCTGGGCAGTCTCTGTGGCAACCTGAATGCTTGGTAGGATCCAGGGGGCAGTAGGTGATGGGTGCTGACCTCACAGGAGTGATAGATGCCCACTGAAGAGCCAGCTGTGTCCCAGGCAGAGGTTTGGCACGAGTTTTTCCTGGGGATCCTCCTCTGGAGGAAGCCCACTAACAGAAAGGTAGGCTTGTACAGCTGGGGTGGGCTGGCGCTCACCCGAGAAAACCAAAACAAAAACTAAACAAAGAGTAATTCCTTTCCCCTTCCCCAAAGACCCTCTCCTGTGTGGCTACAACAGGGTACAAAGCCTCTGGAGCAGCCAGAGTAGCTTCTGGGTGAGGGCACAGGACAGGGCCAGCCTCCCTCTCCTTGTAAGAAGACACCTAGGTCAGAAACTGTGAGTAGGGAGGCCGCCAGGGTGCCAGGAGAGTGTCCCAACACCCACACAGATGGACACTGGGGTGCGGCTGAAGGGTCACGGCTCGGGCACACACACAAACAAGCCTCTACTGGCTGTGGGGCCTACCCAGTCCCTTCCCTGCTGCCGGCAGGTCCGTTCTTCTCCCATTAGACACATTTACACTGAGGCAGGCACCTAACAGGAAGTCCCTGGAGGTGAGGGAGATGGTGCTTAACATTGTCACCATATGTGACATACGGGGCCCAGCACTTGGGGCACACCCTTTACTGTGAGGAGACGACAGTGGCAACCAGTTCAGGAGGACCTGTTGTTATGGCAATGGTCACAGCTGGATCTCAGGGACCTGGGCAGTCTCTGTGGCAACCTGAATGCTTGGTAGGATCCAGGGGGCAGTAGGTGATGGGTGCTGACCTCACAGGAGTGATAGATGCCCACTGAAGAGCCAGCTGTGTCCCAGGCAGAGGTTTGGCACGAGTTTTTCCTGGGGATCCTCCTCTGGAGGAAGCCCACTAACAGAAAGGTAGGCTTGTACAGCTGGGGTGGGCTGGCGCTCACCCGCCAAGAAGTGGGAGACAGTCACCTTCCGTCCCCACCTCAGAGCTCCCAGTTACAAGGGGCAGAGGAAGGAATGGAGTCCCACTGTCGGAGGTCCTGGTGTTGCCCGGGGCCTCTGATCGCTCAGAGAACAAACCCTCAGTTTAGACCTCCTTTTTTGAGTTCTCCTGGCCAAGTCCTGGTCTTCTCTTCCAGGTGGCTCTCCACTTCTGATCATTTTCAAGGCCTAAGTGCTAACCAGGAGCAGCCTGGGCAGGTCCTGCATCTGGTGGGGAGGTGGCCCACAGGCCTCCTGTCTTCACGCCCCTGTCCAAGGAGAAACCACAAAATTCTCCAAGGAGAGGCAGGCCTTCTCTGGGGAAGCGAGGTGTTATGCGCAGAACTGAGAGATGGGTAAAGAAAGATGGAAAAGAAAGGACAAAAACAAAATCGCTCCCTAACCCCTTATAAAAATTAAAAATGAAATTTATACATATGTTTTGTCCATATTGAATTTTTTTAAATTGGTGCCTGTCCACAGCATAGCTTCCTGGTCTTCTGAAGTCTTAATCATTTAAAAAAAGAAAAAAAAGAGAGAAGAGGAAAAAAAGAGGCAAATCAAATAAAATAAACAATTGAGCGTTAACTAAAAGGAGGGGGAAAATCCAAACAAAAGCTTCACATTGCCGGAGATCCAGCTGTCGGGAGATCGCCAACCGAACAAGCCGCCACCTGCCCCTCTGCCATCCGCTGTGCGAGACGTGAAGAGACTGTGGGTCCCGAGGGTCAACCTGGAAGACAGAAGGCAGGACATGTGGGCACTGGGTCCCCCACCAGGTGCCAGCACCCCACCCAGATGAGCTCAGGAGCTGGGTATGCTGGTGGAGGAGCTTTGTGAATATGTGGAGTGAATCTAGCTTCATCCCAACCACCCTCCTGCAGACACACATTAGACTCCTTTGCAGACCAGGAAACTGAGGCACAGGTCAGGTAACATAGCCCCGTTGGCTGAGGGGCAGAGCCTGGCAGGGTACCCAGGCATGCTGGCTCCAGCTACCAATGCCATCACAAACTCCATCCAGGTCTGGAGGCTTCCCTGAACTATTAGGAAAAGATGCCACAGGACCCTTGCCATCCCTTAGCCCTTGGGCAGCCCCAGGTTCCCCCATTCTTTTCTCCTCACCCCGAGTAATCACGCTGTATGAAAACTTCACAGCAACTCTCTCAACTTTACTTATCCCATTCTGGAGACAAGAAAAGTGAGGGTAAAGCTTCTGAGAATCTGTACTAGGCAGCCAAGCTCTCGGGTCTTACAAGGGGCCAGGGGCAGCGGTGACTCAGAGCCACTGCTCAGCCCCACGCTGCCTTGTTAAACGACGCTCTGGACTTAACTATGGGCAAATATAAGTCCTCCACTCCTTGGTCTCATCACACCAACTCCCTCCTCCAGTGCACACGAGGGGCGACCTGTGGTTGTGTCTGGGGATGGATGATAGAGGCACTGGGAAAGTATCTCATGGAAAAAGAATACTGGACATCTCAGGCCCCCTTTTCTTCAGCTGCTTCTGTTTCTCCATCTGCTAAGTCCCCTCAATCAACAAAAATCCACTGGTGGGTCTAGTACCCCCGTTTCCAACTTGGAAAAATGAAAGCACATCTATGATGATCCAGCAGCCCTTTCAGACTCTAGCTCTATTCAGCATGCCTACTGCCTTCTCTAAGGCACCCAGAAGATGGGTGGAGGAGGGTCTGGGGGAACGAACCACCCAAGACACTCCAGGTCCTTGTGACTATGACAAGAAAAGCCCAGGAAACTGTACGTTCATGTTTGATCTGCTAAGACAATCTAGGGGACAAATTACGACCTTTCAACCCTGCTTCCTCCCTCCCCTGGCAGGATCCACATTGAAGGGAACCTCCTCAAAAGGAGGCCCATCAGCAGAAAGTGGCCCAAGGCAGCTGAAAAGCGGTGTGGTCAAGGAGGCAGAGGGATTCAGAAGCTCAAAGTCCCTTTTACATGATAAGCCAGCGGAGCACAGTGTACCCGCAGGGGGCACCTCAGCAGTACAGCCCTCTGCAGGAGCTCCAGAGACACTGCCGGGCGGCAGCTGCAGTCACCAGCTCCCTTGCTAGGAAGCTGGGCTGCCATTTCCCATAGGCGCCTCCACCCTCCCTCCTGCTCTGGCGTGGGCTCCAGTCCTCCTGGTAGGAGGCCTCAGGCCACACCAGGCCTGGGTCTGCCTCTCCCCTGCGGAGAACAAGAGGGCTCTCTCTTCTACGGAGAAGACCTTAGCTTTCGATGCCTCTGCTGTCTCCCATTAGGACAAGGTACACATGGCCCAGGAAGCCAATGGCAGTAGCCTCACTGGAGGACAGTCTCCACAGCCATGAGGAGGAACGGCTTGGACTACATCGTGCTGGGCCAGAGCAGCAGTACACCCTCCTGGGCACTTGCAGGAAACATAAATGGCGTAGGCCCAGCCCTGCTGGGTCCTTGAACTTCATGGCCCCAGAAGCCAAGCCTCAGCTCCCTGACGGTCCAGGCTGTGGCTACCAGACTCAACCAGGGCTTGCCTTGTCCCTTTCAGTGGAATGCTCACCTCTGACCACACAGCCTCCTAGCAGACAAAGCCACACCCTCTGAGTGCCACGAAAATGGTAATGTGAGTGACCTACAGATGACATCTGCAGAGCATGCCACCTTCCACCTTCCTGATGACCTCAGCATGTGAGAATGGACTTGCCCCATTTCAACAGGGGAAGAGGTTCTGAGAGATGGACCAACTCACCCCACATCACAGGGCTGAGTAGAACCAGCATTTAATCCAAACACTGCAAGCGTCACTGCCCCATCTCTCCATGCTGACAGTCTTCACTCAGCGCTTGCAAAGCCAGCCCAGCCAGTGGTTCCCACAGCCTGCATGCGCGATGCCTTGAGGGGAAGGTGTCAGTGACTCGGGAAGGGGTTGGCAAATCCTTCCCTTTCTTATTTCAGCTCTTGGAATAAGTTTCTTCAGCACTCTGACCTTGCTGTTTCTCTGTAACGGTCTCAACACCATCACTTATTGAGCATTTACTACAGGCCAGGCACATGCTAAGGTGACACCCCAGTAGGGCAACTTTAGACCCCCCTACGCTGCTCTCCATTCACTGTGCCCTAAAACAGACCACAGGTTTTACATCTATTGCCTTATGTCACCCACAAACCTATGAGGTAGGAGCTGGTGTCACCCCAGTTTTAGAGATGAGGACACTGAAGCTCAGAGATCGCTGCACAGCTAGTAAGTGACAGAGGAAAAGGTTTGAACCTAGGCTGGTCTCACTTCAAAGCTCCTGGTTTTGACATGAAACTTTGTATTGTAAAATCCCTTGCTAGAGACAAGAAGAGCTTAAGCAGAGTTTAATACTCACCTAATCCCTTCATTTAGGAACACATTCACTAAGAAAAAGGCTCATGGAAAACTTGGCTTAGGTATCTTTGGACAGGTCTGGTGTTCAGGGCACAAAGGAGGATGTGGTTCCAACAAGGCCATGAGTAGGCTTCTGGCAAATTCCTCTGCCAACCAAGTAGTTGTCTAATCTGTTCAAGGAGACTGGAGGACCAGACTGATCCCATTAAGACCAGTATCAGTTTGGAGAATGGAAGCTGGGGCGAACTGTGGCTGGGGCAAGCATCAGTGGGGCTGGGATCGAACAGGCTCACACATCCACTTCCCTCCTCTGCATCTCAACCTGCAGACTCCGAACAGCTGGGTGAATAGAAGACTAGCCTTTATTCTAAAAGAATGGCCTTCCTTCTTTGTTGGTGTCAAGATCTTTGATGAATCATCACCTACCCCACTGCCCACCCATACTTTTAAGTTGTGCTGTCCTTCAAGATGTTTAAGTCTGGCAACCACAGGATTTAGAAATCTTCAGAAGCCACAACTAAATTTTAACTCAGCATCTTCACTCTAGGCTCTATCAGGGCAACAGTACAGGCAAGTGGACAGTCCTGGGTTCAAATCTGCGCTCTGCCACTTACCAGCCATTTACATTATCTGAACCTCCTTTTCCTCACTACCCAATGTGGGGATGTTGCTATTTACTCTTCTGCTGTGAGAAGTAAGGATTCAAGCACACTGCTTATCCCAGCACCTGACAGAGAGAGGGTGCTCAATATGGCCTGTCTGGTTAGTTGTTAATTCATGTCTGTCCAGAGACTGCAGCATCTGTAACTTACCTACAGGTGAGGCTTAGCTCAAGAACTTTCTGTCCTATGTTTGCAGTATGGAGATGTAAGATGAAGGCAGTGGAGGTGGTCATGGAGGGGAAGGGAGCTCTCCAGTCCCTGCTCTGAAACATGCAAGCCTGTCACACCATTACCGTAACAGCCCAAGGACAGCCAGGTGGTGGTAGGATTTCCACCTGCTCAGGCCTTAAGATGGATTTTCAATGCCCATTTCTAGGGACCTATAAATCTGAACTACAACCTGGCTGTTTGTTGAGATCTGTTTTCTGGGGTAGGGGACAAAAATGTCATAGCTACCCACTGAAAGGGTGGGCCAGTAGTGCAGGTGACCACTGGTACTTGTCAGGAGGGTTCCTGTGGCAGTCCAGGCTTCAGGTGGCCCAGAGCACCCGAGCTATGCTCCCACTGCTAAGGTAAGCAGGTGCGTAAGTCTGCGGGTATGGTGCCAGCCCTTGCACACACTCTCCGCACACACCCATTTATCCATGAAAAAGGTTCTCCAGAGGAGGAATTTCAGTCTTGGAGGTTACTCAGCGAATTGCAAAAGTAAACAGCTAGTTAACGCTTAACTGGGATTCAAACCTTAAGTCCAGTTTTCTCTATTCCTCTCTGCCGCTCATTTATTTAACAGAAAGGAGCACTGCCATGCTCACAGACTGAAGCATAGAATAAACTCAAACTGCAGTATGACCGGGTAGGTAGCCGAGAGCCCCCTCTTCCCTAAGCCCTTCCTGCAATCCTGCATGGTGGTATTACCACTGTAGTTAATGATGCCTTTATTATGCTAGACACCATGCAGCACTGTACATCCATGCCCCTTTTGTCCAAAGGGCCATGTAGGAACTATCTCCATTTCACAGGTGAGCAAACTGACGCTCAGGAATTAATTTTCAGTGAACCACGTTGTGGAGGCACAGGCAAGGTAATCCCAGGGTCACAGAGGGCAGGCCTCTTCTAAGTAGGATTAGCTTCACAATGAGTCATTCTGCACTTGTTTAACACACCAGAGCCACTGGCTTTTCATACTCAGATTAACATGACAGCCCTGGCGGTTCAGCAGCCCCAGCACTCCTGTCAATTCCAACCTGCCAGAGGGCCTGGGCCAGCGAGCCGAGCTTCCTGATGCATCTAAGGCCAGCACCAACAGCGGTGCTCCAGGGAGGGCACAACAGGGAGGCATGGTGTGGTGGGCAGCCCATGGCACAGTACCCGGGCGCCCTTTCAGCAGAGTAAAGAATAATGGGCTTTTTCCTCAACTTAAAACTTTTTCAGTTTTCTCAACTTAAAATGTGGAACCGTCCACCTCACAGGGTGTGAAGTCCAGCGGTGGTATTTGTAACAGGCACAGTGAGGCATACGGGAGGCATTCATGTGCTGCGATGGCAGATGTGGATCACCTGACCAAACACAACCTCCCATCAAACAGTCTCCGGCTCAGGCCGAGTTGCAGACAGGACGGCCAGGTCTGGGGTCTTTTCTCAAGGTGAACGCCTCCCTTTTTGCCTTAGGCCCAGCAGCTGCTGGTCTGCTTGCACCCCCTGTCCCCAAGCTGCACCCCTC